TTTATCTCTTCTTTTTGTGTCAGTTGCTGCTCGGCTGCGTATCCCTTTCTGCTAGTAGTCACTATCTTTCTGTAACAGCGCAGTCATCTTAACAAAATTCGAATATTAAAATCTCTCTCCTCTTCACCCACTCTGCGTATCTTAGCTCAACATCCACCATTTCCTCTACCCTGCGCATTTCACGTTCACCACGTCGTTGACGACCGAGCCAACTCGCCGGCGCAACCCCAACACCTAACTATCCTTTCAATATTCTCCAGACATTCTCGAAACTCGCATTTCCTAAATAATAACACACACACACACACACACACAGAAAACACGTCTACATTCTAGAAGCTTCGTTTTGCGTCAAAACAATGGGACTTGATTACTATAACGTACTGAAAGTATCTCGGAATGCAAGTGAAGAGGATTTAAAGAGATCCTACAAGCGATTAGCCATGAAATGGCATCCAGATAAGAACAGTCAGAACAAAAAGGAAGCTGAAGCGAAATTCAAGCAGATTTCTGAAGCGTATGATGTGCTTAGTGATCCTCAGAAGCGTCAGATCTATGACGTGTACGGTGATGATGCATTGAAATCCGGTCAATTTGCTTCGGCGTCGCCGACTAGTGCTGGTAGTAACGACAGAGGATTTAGGTTCAATACGCGTGACGCGGAGGCTATTTTCGCTGAGTTTTTCGGTGGATCGGATAGTAATTCCGGTGCCGGAGTAGGTCGGAAGGCGGCGCCGGTGGAGAATAAACTGCCGTGTAGCTTGGAGGAGCTTTACAAAGGATCTAGAAGGAAAATGAAGATCTCACGGATTCTTCTGGATGACTCTGGGTAGGTATACCTTAAATTAAACGTATAAATGTATAATTGCAAGTATTTTGCGTTTTACGTCATCGTCAATTGCGTAATTTGCACAATTTTGTTTTATCAAATTTGCTACTCTCTCCATTTTATGAAATGTTGTTTGAATGGACACCGAATTTAGAAAACAAAAGAAGAATGTATTTGACATTTGTGATTTAAAATAAGCTATAGATATTTGTGCAGCTATAGATCTATTTCATTAAAGATAAAATGAAACTTTTAAAGTTTAACTGTTTCTAAATATAAGAATATATTAGTATTTTTTTTTAGGATATACTAAAATACAAAATGTATCATATAAATCAGGCAAACTACTATTTTTAACTTTCTTGATGGTCTGGGAAAATGAGAATAATTTTTTAGTGTAGCCCCGCTTTGTTTATTTTTAGTCAATTTTCATTTCTTGAAGCAAAAAGTTACTTCCTTTCTTCTAACGTGCTGACCGAGGTTGTTGAAGTTTGCATTTGCGCTTTGATATGCTTTTTGAATCAAAATTGTACTGTTGCTGGGACAAATCTTCGTTGGTTTACCATTAAATTGCTGAAATAGGATACAAAAATTTGATAGCATCGAAATCAGGAGTTTTGATATTTTTTCTGTATGGAGGATAGAAAATGAAATGATGTTATAGTTTTTCAGCGGAACAGAAGTCTTAAATGCCTCTATGATCATAGATTTATAGCTGTTAATGGTCAAGATTCACGTTGCTTAGTGGCCAAACTGTATAATTACGTAATACATTTGCTGTCATAGTTTTAACTCTGCTACCTGGCTCAACAGATAAAGTTCCCACTGATTCTGTTCTCCTTGGTGGAGTATGGTAAAAGCTTGATAGCTCTTTGACATCCCAATGTGTATTAGCCAGTATCTCTTTTGACATAGCTATTAAGAATCTCTTTTGACATAGCTATTAAGAAGGTTAGAACACCTTGGTGTTGCACTAAACTATTAGATAGAGGTTGAGGATGAAGTACGAACATTATCCTATTTTAGTGTCAAGTTTTTGTTTTCAAAGATCAAACTGACTTGGGTAAAGTTACTAACTTCATATTTTTGGATTTTAGTGGTTGAGAAACTATTTTCACTAATAGTTGAGGCTGGCTACATGATCAATACCCATTTCATTCGTGCACCTGTTTCATTCCGATCCATTACTCAATAATTGGAAGGGGAGCCTTGGCGTAATTGGTAAAGTTGTTGCCATGTGACTAGGAGGTCACGGGTTCGAGCCATGGAAATAGCCTCTTGTAGAAATGCAGGGTAAGGCTGCGTACTAGAGCCTTGTGGTCCGGCCCTTCCCCGGACCCCGTGCATAGCGGGAGCTTAGTACACCGGACTGCCTTTTTTCCATTACTCAATAATTATTTTGCTGATACATGAGGTTCTCTGCAGTTTCTACTAAAGTACAAATATATAAACAAGCTCACTACAAATTAACTAGTTTTATACTGCCGTCAACCTACTACAGAATTGTTTCTGTGTCCATCACTTATGGAAATATCTGTAATAATGCCTTAAATGCATTTTGACCAAATGTTTTTTTAGCTAATTGAGTGTACTGGATATTTATTGACCTTGTTCTCTCACACATCCTCCCTTGGTAAAATAACAGAATCACATTTGTTTGTTCCTGAATAGTCTAGAAGGTTGAAAAAGACGTGATTGTTCACGGCTATTCTTTCTATTAGGGGTCAAAAGCTCCTAAACCCTGCCCAATTTGCAGATTTATATCAAAGTCACTGCTGCTTAATGCTTATTTATGGTCACCTGGGAGGTAGACTGATCTCCTGAATGTTGCAATTCCCTTATGCAAAAAATTGATTGTCCCGTTATAGTTGAGGGAATGAGTTTTTCTCTTGGGCAAATTTCACCTCATAAACTAACTTGTAGGGTTGAGTTCGGCCAAAGTTCCATTTTCTTACATTGTGTCAAACTCAAACCTATCATTATTTTTGCAATGTTGGGTCACAATGTTGTATTGCCTATGCTCCAAATGTCCAGTTCTTAATGCGCAGGGGTATTGATTGCCCCACATGGTTGAGACTTGAGATTAATCGGTTGTTGTCTTCTTGTATGGTCTTCGACGATTCTCATCTTATGAATTAACTTTTAGTTTTAACTTTTAAGCCCCATGTCCATTTTCTTTACAGAAAGCTTATGATCACCTAGGGATGTGGATTGATCACACTCATTGTTTCAATTCTCTGGCGCAACGATAAAACTTCTTATAGAAACTACTGTCAATGGGAGGCAAAAAATTTAGCTACTGAAAGCAATAGTTCTTTTTGTGGAGGGGCAGGGTGAAGGTATGGGTAGTAAAGCAATGACAGATATGACAACAAAGTTCTGTGAATATGTGGATTACAAGCCATGAGTTTATCAAATTAAGAAGTTTCATTCAATTATTTCGCACTCAGTTGCTCTAACCCGGGGTCCTATTTGTTCCATGTGCGAATTTCTTTTGCAGTAAGCCTACAACTGTTGAAGAGGTCTTAGCGATACACATCAAGCCTGGTTGGAAGAAAGGCACAAAAATCACTTTCCCAGAGAAAGGAAACTATGAGCCTGGAGCTACTCCTGGTGATCTTATTTTTGTGATAGATGAAAAGCCGCATGTTGTCTTCAAGAGGGATGGAAATGATCTAGTGATCAATCACAAAATTTCTTTACTAGATGCTCTTACTGGAAAAACTATAAGCTTGATCACTTTGGATGGACGGGAACTCACAGTACCAATCACAGATATTGTTAAACCAGGACATGAGCATATAATCCCAAATGAAGGAATGCCAATTTCAAAGGAACGTGGCAAGAAAGGAAATTTGAAGATCAAGTTTGACATTAAATTCCCATCAAGGCTAAGTGCAGATCAGAAATCTGATATCAGGAGGGTACTGCACAGGAGCGCTGACTAATCGTGTATTTAACTTAAGGTGTCTCGCACACTATCATGCATGTGCAGTGTCATGTAAATAATTAACAAGTTTTCTCTAGAAAGGAAATTGTGCATAGTAGGATATAGTTTAGGGATGCCTCCATATTTACAACATGTGAGCACTAAAACCGGAGCTAATGTAGCTTCTACTTAGCTGCCTGCATTTTTTTTTAATGTTGGATGTAAAAGGGGAGTAATTAGTAAGTAGTTTAATAGCTGTGTTTGATTTGGAGCTTGGATGCTACATATCGAGTATTGCGGTTGAGATTAGTGGTTGTGTTCTAGTTGTGTATTCCATCTGTGGCAGACCTTTGTTGAATTTAATGTGTTGGTTTTTTTTGCCTTTGTTATGGACGAATTCTCTCCTTTCCATCTTTCTTTTCAGCGTATTTGCTTTGGATCCAGATCTACGCTTTTCCTTTTGCTCCTCATCAGCAAGCTCAATCAGGATGACAAGATTTCTCCCCATTCGGTTGTCCTTGTTAATCAAAATCTAGTACATTTTTATGGAAGTTCATAGTTTCATGTGATTCATTATGAGACAAAGATGCCCGAATCTTGAACCAGAGGCGGAACTAGGATTTGTCTCAACTCTGTTGAATCATCATTCCTCTCTCTCATGTGTGTGTATAGTTTTCCACGTCTTTAGTTTAAAGGAAAAATTCCTCAAGCTGCAGTTTGATTCCATTACGTATTGATGACTTAATAACCTTAAAATAAGCGTAATAGTCAAACCGCAAATGTGCACTGACTACATGCATTTTACTTACATTCTTTTATCTTACAGTACTATCTTTATATAGATTCGCGTCGAAAAAGACGCTGCACGGCAATATCAAAGCTATTTTTATACTCCCTCCTCCATTCACTTTTACTTATCTAGTATTCTAAAAATAGATTTTTATTTTTACTTGTCTTTTTTAGCATATCAAAAGAAGACAATTTTTTTTTTTCCTGTTATACGTACAATTTTAACTACTTATTTCAAATCCTTTTCTCAAATCTATTGCATCAATTAATATGAGTATCATGGTAAATTATGAACTTCATTCATTATTTCTTAAGCGGAAGTATAAAGTTTATAGTGAACAAGTAAAAGTGAACGGAGGGAGTATGTTATAGGAGTATTTTATAAATTCTTAAGGGGAGTTCAGGGGCGTGGGGATACTCATACTTTGATGAATATGGAAAAGACATTCCATGAACAAAAATAAAAACCAGAAACACATTTATTTATTCAAACCAATATACCAACATGCTTTAATCAGCCTCTTTACAATCAGAAGCGAGCAAAAATTGGAGGATATCTAGCTGCTTTTTTCAATTAAAAATTGATAAAGATATGAATTTTATTCTACACAGAGGCTATCATTCCAGTAAACTCTGCTCAAAATATGTCTTTTGTTTGCTTAGATAAACATAGCTCTGTGTTTCTCAATTTTCTTCTTCAGTCCATCCTTATCTGCTCCCACAACCTTGTCAACAACTTTCCCCTTTTTAATCAGCACAAATGTTGGCATTGCTTGAACCCCATATTCCTCAGCTACTTTCTGTTTTCAGTTTATTTCAGATATTAGTATCCATTTATGTATCGAAAGAGTTGGGAAAAAAGAAAAGGATCGTAAAGTTAAGAACATAAGATCTTACAGCCAATTCATCAACATCAATCTTGACAAATTCAACATCTGTATATTTAGCAGCAAAATCATTGATAACTGGTTCCATATATTTGCAAGGACCACACCATGTTGCTGTAAAGTCAATAACAACCTAGCAATAGACCAAAACATCCTAATGATTAGTATCACCAAATACAAAATAAGTTTAACTTTTATACACTAGAAATGCAAGCATAATTTTTATATTATCGAGTCACTTAAAAAATAATTAGAGGTTAAAGGAACAAAACATGCGACCAGTAATGTAGAAAATAAGACAGATTACCTACTACAGCATGTTAAAATACGCGCGTAAAACTTTTACGGAGTTTGTATATTTAAGTTAAATCCATACTTATGCAATATTTCTAAAATGATTACCAGTTTGTTTGTATCTTTCAAAGAATCAAAATGGAGCTTCCATTTTGTTGTAGAATGGAAAGCAATTACTTGAGACCTCTTGATTTGTGGTACTGTGGTTGGCATATTATTAGCTTCATGCAGAGTAGATGAGTAGTTAGCACCCATTTTCTTCTAGTTTTCTTGATTTAAGAATTTTTCCTTCAAATTTTTGGGTTCTAAAATTTTCTTTGGTTTAACGTTGGAGCTTAGAGATTTGCAAGGACCCTTTTTATATTGGTTGCTCATGTACTTTTCTCGTTTAAAATGTAAAAGCAACCTAAACTAATAGTACAGAATATGTTCTTCATTATGTCGAACTTTCAATTATAAAAAGAAAGATTTGATGCTATATATCTTTTGTTTCTGTCTGTTCTTTTTTCAATATTTCTGAAGAAGGATCATGTCCACTTTATTCTCATACTCTGAATTTTCACCCTGCAACAAAGTCGTTTAATATGTCTCTACAACAAGTAAAAATCTCCCACCACATGATTCAATGCTTAATGAGAAATTTTCATAAAGCACTATCTTTTAGTGGTAATTAGCTATCTATAGATACCATTTGCTATATTACGGATTGTAGATACGTTTTCTGTAGTTATAAGATGTATTAGATGTATTTAAGCTACTGTATTCATGAATACGGTAGCAAAAATAGGCGTGAATCAGGGAAGTCCAGCTAATCAGTTGTTGTATTCGAGTGTATTCGACTGTATTCATGGCGTGAAACATGGGATTACAGCTGGACAGATTATTGTATTCGACTGTATTTTAATGTATTCACGGCGTGAAACAGGGGATTACACTGTTTTTAAACGGAAAGTGAATCAATTAACATAATAGACTCCTAATATAACTCAACAAACTCAATTATAATACACAAATTTTGTATTTCCAGTTGTTTAACCAAAAATTAGATTTTAGGTCAAAGCTTGAATTTAGAAGAACACGGGTTACTGATAATCGGAAAAGAGTATAAAGAAAGAAATTTGAGAATAAGATATGAAAACTAGTAAATCAGGGTATATTTTAATAGTGTTTTTCGTGCTTACAATTGTTTGTGACTTTTCCTTTTGCCATTTTGGGAATACAGACTTTACCTTTGTCATAATAAGACAATTATGGGCAGTTAATGATTTTAAATGTTACGTTATGTAATCATATACATTAAATACATATTCTCTAATGTTTCTCGCATTTAATGCTCATTAAATGCTGTATCTGGGCTCTCATTTGCTGTCAGATTCATTCCTTTGATTCTTCACGATCTTTGCTGTTTAAATGCCTTGAACGGGTACGAGCATTGAATGTCTCGCATGACTGCTCGTGTCTCTTCTGTTTAACTTGCTCGTGTCTGTTCTGTTTAACTTGCTCGTGTCTGTTGCTGCTTGTACCTATTGAACAACCTTAATTCTTTGACTGTTTGACCAGTCTACGTGTCATGACACGTCATCTCCAATATGCATAGTAAATTTTTTCCAATACAGATAGTCCCCCCACTTTCCATTTATTCGTCAGTTGAATATTTGGGAAGTGGATTTCATAAAAGGAGAATTTTTGTCACCATTAATGCTGTGACAAGATTGATGCTTCAATGGTCACATCTATTTAATGTTCTTCACACGTGTCAACTCCTTATCGATTCTGCAACTTGCACCCCTTTTTAAGGTCCTTTTTTACAGCTCCACTATTCACGAAGTACCAGTTACCATTATTGTGACCCTTCCATTACTGCGTTTTCACTTATTGACAGTTACCTATAAATATAGTTTTACCTTTTAATTTTTTCCACACAAAACTCTTTCGAACACTCAAACTGTGCAAATTTTTATTCACTTCGTCTTCTTCCTCATCATGTCTTCTTCGAACCCTAACCCTAGAAGAGCTCCTGCTTTAGAAAATTATCCCAATGCCCCTGTCAGACATAGAAGGGGTGGAAGACTTCGTAGTTTAGGATCTTCTCGTGGTGGTGGTTCTGCCATGCCTTCTTCTAACCCTGGCTCTTCTTCTAGAACCAGGGGTTCTTTTACCCAAAAATCATCTTCTAAGGGCAAGGAAACCTCTGAACCATTACAAGAGCCTTTGGTGGAGGAGATAATTCCTAACGATTTTTCTTTTCACCATGATAGACAATCACTTCAAAGCCAAGTTGCAGGTCTAGATCGTGCTGATGCTTTCCCCACTTTGATTACAGAGCTTTTAGCTCCCATAGTTCGCAAAGATTGCCACTGGAATGACGATTTTCCCATTGTAATCCCCAATCCAAATCAAAGGATTACTTCATATATTACTGGACTCTCTTTCGTTTACACATACCCTTTTACTCTTGGGTTTAAACCAGCTATCGACCCAGTAATTCTCGATTTCTGTCGTTTCTTCAAGGTTTGTCTAGCACAGATTGGCCTGTTGGTATGGAGGGCTGTGGCTTGTTTAAGACATCTGGCTAACTTAGCAGATGTTAACTTTACCTTCCCTTACCTAATTCACCTTTACTCCCCTAGGTTATTTCGTAATGGCGTTTTCACCTTAGTGGCTAGGAGTAAAAGGGTTTTGGTGAGTCCGGAAGATGACAAGGATCGTGGCTGGTATGCCCGATTTGTTGCTGCCCCCACAGTTGGTTTGGTGGGTAAAGAAAATGTTCCCTTCCCTGAGAAGTGGAATTTTGCACGTAAGTTCCTTACCCTTTCTCGTACTTCTTTCTTTCGAGTTTATCAATTTCTTTAACTTTGTTTCCCTCTTTTTGTTTAGCAACCATGGAAGTTGTGGAGAACATTCCCAATTTTCGTGGTTGGGTAGATAAATTGTTGAAGACTGCACCTATGGATGCTAGGTCTTGGAAATACATCTCCAGTATTTACGGTTGGAGAGTGAAGACTCACGGTAAGAGTTTCTATCTCTCTCGTATGTAAAAATTCATTGCTTTAACTTTCATCCTTCTCTTTGTCAGGATTTGCTATTCGAGGTGTTACCGCTGATAAAGTTGCAGCCTCTCATTTAGGAACCCTACTTTCCTTAGAAAGTGCTCAGGATATTCTTCTGAAAGGAAAAACCACAGATGATGATAGCTCCGACGAAGAAGATAAAGGTGGTTCGTTGATGACAAGGCCAAGAGTTAGGAGACATATCATTTTCGATGAAACTGAAACTTCCCCTCATCTTTCTCCTACCAGGCCTGTTAATCTTGTCTCCGATGATGACGTTGTCACCCCTCATGACACTCATGAGTCGATTAACCAGCTTTTCGTTAGTGGTTTTGAGAGTGGTGAGTTAGGACCTGTTTTGGATGAACCTCCCCTATCTTCCTCTTCAACTCACATATCTTCAATTCCTTCTCTTCCTTCTTCTGCCATGCCTTTGGTTCCTTCCTTACCTGCTACATCTGCTTCCGTACCTGTTCCACCTGCTTCCGTACCTCCCTCTGCTATTTTCACTTCTTCTACCGCTCCTCCTTCTACTGTCCATAATACAGAAGTGGGTTCTACCAGTAGAAGTATTGCTATGAGGAGCGTGACTGTCGAAGTTCCTGCTAACAACAGCCTCTTGAGGAAATCCGGTCAGGCGGATGTTTGGCTTGAGCCTTTAATAGGCCCAATTGAGAAAGACAAAATGAATAGCCATAGCTGTCTGACTCTGATGAACGACATAGTTTATTCCACCTTAAATGTATGTCCCTTCTTTCTTTACTTTGCCAGATTTTTTTTAGAATTCTAATTTTTCTTCCTTTATCATTTTCAGGCCAACCTTATTGGTACAGAGCTGATGAGCAGAGTTTCTCTATTAGAGAAGGTGGCACGTGACTCTGAAAAGGCGGTTCTTGATTCAGAGAGGGCAGCTCGTGAATCTCAGTTGGAGGCAGCTACTTGGAATGGTTTATTTGATAGTGAACAAATCACTATAGAAGATTTGTAAGAGAACAAGAATAACCTGGAACAGCAGGTGAGAGCCTTATCCTCAGAACTTGCGGTCATCAGGGTTTCTTCAAGTCAGGTAGAGCGAGAAAAAGAGCGTCATGAGGCTTCTTTTTCAGAGCAATTGACTAAGGCAAATGAGGAAATTAATGAGTTGAAAGCTCTTTTGAATAAAAAAGAAGTTTATGCTGGGGATCTGATGCAGAGTTTGACTCAGACACAAGAAGATCTGCGAACTTCTGAAGACAAGGTGCAGGCCTTGGAAAAATCTCATGCTTCTCTCCAAGCCTCTTACAACTCAGCCCGGATGAAAATGAAGGTCTCAAGAATGAAATTGCTGCTTGGGAAAGAGATTATGAGCTTCTTGAGGATAAGGTTGCAGTTGATGTAAGCTGGGCTTTTCTGAACTCTCGTCGTGATGCCTTAGTTGAAGCCAGCCAAGAAAACTTTAATCTGGAGTCAGAGTTAGCTAAGGTGATGGAGACTATTGAAAAAGCTCAACAACCACTGGACTTCCCTTCACCCGCGATTGAAGTTTTCAAAGCTGAAGTTCCCAGTTGATGTTCCCTTGGGTGAAGTTCCGGTGAGTGAGGCTCCCTTGGCTGAAACTTCTGCAGTTGAAGTCCCCATGAACACTGAAATTGCCTCGGGTGACGCACCTTCTTCAAGCTTAACCGTGCCTCTTGTTGTAAGTCAAGTTGAAACTTCGTCTATTGATACTCCAATTGCTGCGGTTGAAGATCAACCCGCTTCTGTTGACAATGCTGTTCCAGTTGAGCCCGCTGATGATCCTTCTTTAGTCCTTTCCTCTTAGTGAAAAAATTTACATCTGTTTTAAATTCCCTTTTTGCAGGTACCTGTTTGGAAAACTGTGTTTAAAGTTCTTGGATTCATTTGAGAATTTTTGTAATCAAACCCTTGGCTATCACTTGAGGGTTGATTTTTAGAAGTACAAATCCCCAAGTCTTGTTATGGGGCATTTTGTATAAACAATTCGATGACTAAGTTTATACTTAGTCTTTAGTTTTAAATATTAAGAAGTTTTTATTATCATTAAACTTCCGTCTGTTCTATTCTTGCCTTTTATTTTCAAGGACTTAAAGAATGGTCTGCATTTTTGTTCTTTGAAAAATGCTTCTGTTAATCCCATGAATAAATAACATGAGTTTTATAAAAGAGGGCCTTTTTGCATTTTGACACTTAATGAAGAAGACGTCTCAACTTCATAATGGTGTTATCATACGATAAAAGAAATAGGAACACACATGTTTTTTGCAATAACTTTGACAAGTTTTTATTTCTGAACC